GAATTTAATTAATAAAATACAATTTCATCACTCATCATTCAAATTGTAAGTCATTCTTGAATATGAGAATATGAAATAGACAAAATACTTTTGAATAACAATAAATGATGATGTATAATTTAATTGACACAATTAACAATTCACATTGTACTTCTCATTTCAATAAATAATGAACAAGAATAAAGTAATGAGATTTAATAACTAATCACATAAAAAACATTATAAAAACAATTTATTCATTTGTTACTAACAAATCAATTAATTCATCTTTTAAACACACTGTACTATGACTATCATATTGTACAATGTATAATCAGAAAAAATGTATGAAAGTAATTGTTGGTTTAGAATATACAACAAAAATAAACAATGAAAATAAATGAAATAATATCATCTCATAATTTCATCAGTTAACACCACCAGAACAACAAATGAAGTAATTATCAAACATGAAATAGAATAAATAAAAGTTGAAATGATAAATAAATACTTTTTTAATATTACAATATCAAACAAACATACAAACCAACATAAAAATAAAAGAAAAAGGAATAGTAGAAAAAGAAGATAATTAAAAATTCCAACATTTGAGATTATTAACTCATTACTTCAAGTTGTATATTTATTTATTATATTAATACTAATAAGATTTTATGACTTCTATAATAAAAAATAAAAATACAAAGTGTTAAATATTTGAAAATTTCAATCTACTTTTTTAAAGTTCATCTTTTTCATATTCTTCATAATTTCCATATTGTTGGTTATTATCATAACCTGGAGCTTGTTGTTGAGCTCCTCCACCATATTTAGCGAGAATTGGTTGTGCGATTTGTTCTAATTGTTTATATTTATCATCACATTCTTCTTTTGTAGGAGTTGCGTTATTTTCAAGGAATGAAGTAACATCTTGAACAGCGTCAAGTAATACTTTCTTGTCACCTTCTTCTATTTTTCCTCCAAGTTTTTCATTATCATTTACACTATTCTTAATTTGATAAGCATAATTTTCTAATTGATTTTTAGCTTCAACTTGTTCTTTAAGTTTCTTATCATCTTCTGCTCTTTCTTCAGCTTCTTTAATCATTCTTTCAATTTCTTCTTCAGTTAATCTACCTTTCTCAGAAGTGATTGTGATTTTCTCACTTTTTCCTGATTTCTTATCTTCAGCAGATACGGTTAAAATACCATTGACATCAACTTCAAATGTAACTTCAATTTGTGGAACTCCACGTGGTGCTGGTTGAATTCCATCTAAATCGAATTTTCCAAGGAAATGATTATCTTTAGTCATTGTACGTTCACCTTCAAAAACTTGAATAGTAACAGATGGTTGATTGTCTTGATATGTAGAGAATGTTTGTGATTTTGAAATTGGAATATGAGTATTTCTTTTAATTAATGAAGTCATTACACCTCCAACAGTTTCAATACCAAGTGTTAATGGAGTAGTATCTAACAAAACAATATCTTCAGTTCCTTTAATATTACTTAAAACACCTCCTTGAACTGCAGCTCCATAAGCAACAGCTTCATCTGGATTAATTCCACGGGATGGTTCTTTTCCATTAAAGAATTCTTTAAGTAATTGTTGAACTTTAGGAATACGAGTAGAACCACCAACCAATACAACCTCATGAATACTACCTTTTGACATTCCAGAATCTTCAAGTACTTTTTTGACTGGAGCAATTGTTGATTTAAATAATTCAAGATTTAATTCTTCAAATTTAGCTCTAGTTAATGTAAATGAGAAATCTATTCCATCAGCTAAATTCTCAATTTCAATTCTATCTTGTTGTTGTACAGATAATGCTCTCTTTGCTCTTTCAGCTTCTCTTCTTAATCTTGTAATAGCACGTTTATCGTTTCTAAGATCTTTTCCATATTTTCTCTTAAATACGTCAACAAGATATTCTGTTACCTTTTGATCAAAATCACTTCCTCCAAGATGGGTATTTCCTGATGTAGAAATAACATCAAAAACGTTGTCTTCAATGTTTAATAATGATACATCAAATGTTCCTCCTCCAAG